CACTGCAATCTTTGTCTTCTTTCCTTTTCATTATATAAAATTTCTATCTTCTTGTTATCGACAACACAATGGACAGTCTGAGTCTTCTAAAACTCCATTCTTAACTCAAGATGTGATAAATTCATGGGCAATTTGGATACTTTGGGTGAAACTGGAGGCCATATACTTAAAGAGAAACAGATTAAAGTGTTACATGGGGACAGAGTAAATTGATGCTGCGAAAGGAATGGTTTCTCTAATGGCAATTTGTTGGGGCCAAGAAGATATCATTGGTTACATTTCCTATTTCTTCTTTAACATTTACGATACTGGGTTAAACAATCTATAAAGATGAATAAAGCATGAAACCTGCCTTCACTGAGTTAATAGCCCAGCAGGGAAATAAACATGGTGTCAACAACTACATGGTAAATAGACTGTCAAATGTATCATGGTACCTTGAACTATAGTGCAACAATAACATCAATACTTACACTGACAGTTACATTGTACCATACAGAGTTCCTTTAATCCTTACAAAGTCTTACTATCATCTCCACTTCACAGAGGAGCAAACTAAAGCACAAACAACTGGCCCGTGTCTGGTGAATAACATAATTTGGATGTGCATATTGGCAGGCTGATTCTGGGGTATGCACTCCCAACCACTGCTCATACTCTTTCTCTTCTGACTGGTTGTGTAATTAGCTTCTGCCTGGAATCACTTGACTCTGTCCTTCAAAGGACAGCAGTGTTTTAAAAAATGACGGAAAGAAGGAAAGAGAGGGAGAAGGAAGAAAATTACCATTCCCTCCAGGCAGAGAATTCCATGAGCAACAAGACACAAAAATGTAAAGTAGCATGGAATGTTCTGAGAAGGTTCATATGATTTTCAGGAACCAAGTTATGGGGTATTACTAGTATACATATCTAGACATATATATGTATATGTATATGTTTATGTACATGTACATGTATATATATATATAAAACATATATATTATATATTATAGTATTATTAGTGTGTGTGTGTGTGTGTGTGTGTGTGCATGTGCACACCATTCTTGGAAGTTTGAGTTTTGTTCTATAGTTAGGAAAGTCTACCTAATACCTTAAACCAGACAGGGAGGGAGATGATTACTGGATTACATTTTAATTAATTTATTTATATATGTATTATATATTTATATATTATATATATTTATTTTAAATATGAATATATATTTATATATTATTTAGATATATATTAATTCTAATAATATAAATAAATGTAATACATTTATACATTTATATATAAAATTTATATATATATATACACATTAAAAAATGTGAAAACGTTTTGTAGGAAAGCTATATTAGACACAGATAAAAGGTTAGTACAGGTAGGAAAGGAGACTGAATGAACTCAACCAGTGGCAAGGAGCAAGAGCTGGGGTGAAGATATAGTTCAAAGATAGACTGAATAAGTTTTAATGACCAATTTTATCAAGAATGTTGTAAAAGAGAGAACCCAGAGAACCGGAGTTCATGGCCCAAATGGCTTTAGAGTGAATTATTGGGAAAAAAAGGAAGCAAATTTCATGTTTGGTTTTCATTTGAATTTGTTTGGTTTGTATTAGGAAACATTGATGAAGTTAATGATCTCAATTTGGGACAGAAAAGGTATCTAAGAGCAATACCTAATAAGCAGTTAGAAACACAGGTAATAAAATAACCAGCCAACCAAAGAATAATTATTGGGCCCTGCATCTACTCATGAATTCCAAGTGTCAGCTTGGGAATCTTCAGGTTCCAAAAGCAAGAGGAATGGATGAGATCAACCAAGAAAAAGACAAAATCCTAAGAAAAATTACTGTAAGTGGGGAAAAGAGGAGGAATAAGAAGAGACCAAGTGAGTGGGAAGAGTACAGAGCCAGGAGGATCAGCAGGGAATGGAGCTGTGGGATCCAAGAGGTAAGAAATTTCCAAAAAGGTATAAATGGTAACAATGACAATTCGAATGAGGCAAGATATCAAATGGCCTAAGAACTAAAAGGGTGTCCGTTATAATGGATACATTTGGAGATCATTGGGAACACCAGCAAAGGAAATTCCAGTCAAGTTTGAAACCAGACTTCATAATTTAGTAAGCTGCATTAGAAAATAATATGGGAAGACTGTGTAAAGACAACTGAAGTTGTTTAGCAGTGAAAAGAAGGCTAACATAGTGTGGTCACTAGAAGTGATGTCCTGGGTATGAAAATTGTTTTGCTTCTACCCTCTTGACTGGTGGAAAAGGCTTCAGCATTTCTATAGGCTGAAAGGAATATTCAGAAGACAAGAAGGTATTGAAGAGAGGGACTGGTCGAGGGTATACAGTTCTTTGTCAACAAGAGTAGATCAGATGACAGGATTCTCAAGACTGGTATCCTCAGCATCTTAACAAAAATGTGTTTCATGAGGGAACTATTCATTGCTGTAAATGTTTAAGTAGGCAGTGAAAAGGGTGAACCATTTTTGCAATTCTTCAAATAGTTCCAAGGATAGAGTGGAACACTGTTGCTGTAAGGTACAGATAAAGATATGTCATAGAGAGGCTGATTTAAAGTGCACAGATGCATAAGAGACTCTTAATCTCACAAAACAAACTGAGGGTTGCTGAGGGAGGGGAGTATGCAGAGGGTGATTGGGTTATGGACCTTGGGGAGGGTATGTGCTATGGTGAGTGCTGGGAAGTGTGTAAACCTGGGGATTCACAGACCTCTACCCCTGGGGCTAATAACACATTATATGTCAATGAAAAAATTAAAAAATTAAAAAATAAATAAATAAAGTGCACAGATGGACCTGCAGCCAATCTCAATGTGGCAAATGGGCAGCGAGTTGAAATGTGAGGAGAGGGCCTGCGGAAGGGAGAAATGTTCCCTGTGTTCCATGCAGTCCTCACAGCCTCCAACACAGCATTAACCCAAAGCTCCCTTTTGGTGGCTCAGATTAGGAACAGAAATCCCTTTTTACTTTCCCTTTAGGTCTGTGGTAAATCAGGATAAACACTTGGAAAAGTATGTCTTTCAAGAAGACAGTCAGATTTTAAATTATGCATCAGAAAGACGATTGCCTAAAACAATGCATAAGAAAGCATCATTCTCTCATTGTAGTCCAGGCCTAGGTCACTGCTGCATTTCTAATCCTTCATGTAGAGCAATGGGTAAGAAGGAATTTATAATAGATATATAGATAAATATTACAGATGGATTATATACATACATACAGGGTATGCAAAATATTAGTACTTATTGAAGCTGGTTAGTGAACACATGATACTCATTCAATTATTATTTCTATTTTCCATTTATGTATATACATTTCCAATTGCACCTACATGTATATTTCATGTATTTGATTCTACTCCCAAACACCTTAAGTTACAAATATAAAGTACTTGGTACATAGTATGTGTTCAATACATCTATTCTCTTCCATTATAATACCTATTTTCTGTCACCATCACTTAGCATATAATGCCTTATTTCATTCCTTTTGAGTTAGTTATTTTATTTCCCCAGCTATACAATGTGATTCTTGAGGACTTTCTTCTGCATTTCTTTCCTTCTTTTTACCCTCCAAATTTATAGTGCCTTATTGGAAATAAGAACATGCTTACTGGATAAATCCCTAATTTTTGCTCTTGGAGAGAAGTTTTGAGTAAAAAGGAAGAAAGGACTAGACTCCTTCCCTAACTTACCACCCATGTTTACTCTTTTATGGAAGGGTGGACTCTGAGTTCCTTGAAGGCAAAGATCTCGTCTCATACAAGATTTTTTTAAATCTATAAAACATAGCAAAGTGCTTGGCAGACTCATTGGATGTTTTTTGAATGAATGAATAAATCACTTACTAAATGAGTAACTTTATTAAGAATAGGATATATTTAAATATTTCCACTATCTCACAGATTTTCATTAAATTAAAGGCAGCTAATCAAATAGAAAATAGAGCTTGCATCTTTTTATCATTCTACATTGGTCTTAAATGAGGTCTTCATTCTGATTGATTCTTTAATGAGACTGTAAGACAGAAAACTGAAAGCCATGGAGGAACCCAAGATGGAAGGCTGTGAAAATAAAATAAGCAACCAGTCAAAGAATAAAGAATAATTACTGTCAATTGCAGGACAGTCAAAGCAAAGAGAAGGGATTGAAATTGAGAAGAAAGTTTCAACACAAGATACTCAGAATCACAGAATTTTTGAGAGTTCAGGTCATGTAGTTTGTCTTATTTCTCAAGAAAGGATCCTAAGCTATGTGATTTATTCTAAGTAAGAGGTTATAAATTTCCAGATGCTTATTAAAATAAGGAGTAATGGGTGCCTGTGTGGTTCAGTTAGTTAAATGTCTGACTCTTGATTTCGGCTCAGGTCATGATCTTGTGAGACTGAGCCCTACATTGGGCTCCGTGGTGGGCATGGAGCCTGCTTAAGATTCTCTATGCCTCTCTCCCTTTTCCTTTCCCCCCAAACATAAATAAATAAATCAATGAAATAAATACATAAAATAAAGAGGGAAGACATAATCACCAAGTTTCTAACTTGACTCTGTCCATTGTCTTCCCCTAATAGCCAGAAGAAAATAGCTAAAGAATTATTTATGTTTAAATGAACTGGAAAAACACTAAAATCATTGGAATTCTAGAGTTACCAGCAGGGGAATACTCTTATCTCAGAGACACACAGGTACACCTTCCAGCTTAGCTCTATCTGTGCTCCCTCTTTACATTCCTTATTCTAAGGGAGAGAGAAAAAGAGCATGAGGGAGGGACATATAATGTGGGTAGAGACCATGCGGGAACAGAGGACATGGAAGATGTTATGAAGTCAGAGTCACACATGAGAAGAAAAAATTATGACGATAAGAAATGTTTGGTTTAAAGTTTCTATTTGAAGATTTAAAACAAAAGAATGGTTTGAACATTTTTCTTCAGTACTGATTCCAGAGATCAAAGATACCTTAGCAATTAAAATAGAGAAAATGTTGTCTACTTACCCATTCTGTATGGCGGCTGTGGGGTCATAGGTCAGAGCCATGCCAGCCTGTATACAGGAAGGAAAGAGGAGAAAACAAATCTTAACACTTTTATCTTGGTGCCCAAAACATTCAGTACACACAAATACTTTTATCTTACTTTCCATGATTTAAGTTTACTGTATCCTATACATTTTTCTACCCTTACTGCCAAGACTAGCATTTTTACAACTCACACATCAGAATCCACCAGTGAGTTAAGAGTTTATATTATAAATCCAGATAAACCAAAGAACAATACAGTTTGGATGATTTCCATTTCTACTTCATAAACCATCCGCTGTCTAATCTGGTATCCTTATAATTTCTCACTATTGTCAAGAGCACCTATTATATGTCTCATGGCTGAAAAAAAAAAGCAAGAATAAATCCTGTGGTCAGGATAAAAATAAAAGCTACTCAAAATGCATTCGACCTTTCAGAAGAAAATGTTAAGAAATATTTATTTTAAAATAGATGGTATGCCTCGGGGTATGTAGGTAATGAGTCACAGAGTGCTTGTCCAATATATTGCTAGTACCTGTCCTACTAAGAGTGGTAGAAAGGCAAGGTCATTTACATAAAATGGAAATTCTAGGCCTTGTGGCTAATAAGGAGGTGGGTTTGTTTTGTTTCTAAGAATAAAATCACCTTTGAAAAACTAAACTTCTATAATAGGCATAGTTTCAGAAAAGAATAATAAACTTCATGACTGTTGATTCACAGCCTACCTCCTTCCTTCATACACATCATCACATTCGATCCTCACAACAACCCTATGAAGTAGGCAGGAAAAACAATTCCTCCATTTTAAAGATGAAGACACTGAAGCTTGGAAAGGTCAAGTGACTTGCTCAAGGTCACACATTAGGAGGCAGAATCAGATTCCAGCCCGGGTCTTCTGAGGCTCCCTCCCACCACCTATGACACCGACCAAAAGTCTGCATGAGTCCTGACGATCATCTCCAGCAATGTGGGAGAAGTTTCTCTGTGGGTGTATGGGCATACCACCTTTTGTATCCAACACTGTCAATCTGGTTACTGCTTTTGAGTAGAAACAGAATGTAGAGTGAAACACAAAACTAAGTCGTCGTCAGTTAGACATTTTCCCTTCTTTTTTAAAATTTAAAAGTGAATGAGACTGATGTCAATTTCCCAGCCTCGACAGTGTACTACAATTACATTAAGATATAACAATGGGAAGAAATGGGGTGAAAGGTACACAGGGTCTCCTTGTACCTTTCTCTTCCAACTTCCCATGAATCTATAATTATTTCAAAAGAAAAAGAAAAAAAATGAATTAACTTTGAGGACTTCTATGGAAGACAAGAAAAATCATAAAAAACTTTGGAGAAAAGAAAAAGGAGCTTTTGTGTTTTGAATTTTAGTTTATGTGAAGGTAGTTTTCCTGTTGGGCTCATTGAATTACTCAGATTTCACACATAACTAAAATGGAAATTCTCAAGCTTTCCAAAATAGGGCCTGAAGTCCAGTATACCCTGCTATATCCAAGCTTCGATCAGACACATTATTTTTCCCAAAAATTTTTAAAATTGTTATTAAGATTGATATGAAGAACAAGTGTGGAGAGTCATATATGCATAGGATTGGCATACAGGGAACACACATAAATTGAAAAGGAGTTTGGCAAGCAAAGTTGAGATGTCTGGCAGAAGTTAACAGAGGTGCACTGAGAGCACATGTTTAATGATAACTGCATCTTACTCATGTTAAGAAAATATGCAACTGATAATACAACAAGCTGGGGGGACTAGAAAATGAGAAGCAAAAGCAGTGGTGCCAAAACACAAAGAGACCCTGGGGTGCCTGGCTGGGTCAGTTGGTTAAGCATCCAGCTCTTAGTTTTAGCTTAGGTCGTGATCTCAGTGATGTGAGATGGAGTCCCATGCTCAGCAGGGAGTCTGCTTGAGATTCTCTCTCCCTCTCCTGCTGCCCTCCCCCCCCACTGGTGCTGTCTCACTCTCAAATAAACAAATCCTTTAAACACACACACACACACACACACACACACACACACACACACACACACCCACACACACACACACACACACCCTAAGTCTAAATTCTTCTCAAGATGGGGCCTCTGTCATGTGACCAATGGGAGACTGGTTCTAGGCTGAAGACTCTTGAGAATGGGCCTGTCCAGGATACAGCTCATAATCCATGGTTGGGCTGGCTACTGGAGAGGGCAGTTGTAAAAGTTGTCCATTGGGGATGAAATTTCTCTCTTAGAAACACTCATCTCCTTTCCCCTAATTTATTCAAGATGCCACACTAGAGATGGAAGGAAAAAATGGGCTTTATACTCAATAGAGATATTGTTTGTTTGTTTGTGAAAGATTTAGGATGAAATCATACCTTCAGCCTTCTAACCACCACAGATTGTTTAAATCCTAGGGGACTGGTAGGAAGCCTTTCTTAGTCAACCTCATGTTTTCTTCTTTTCCTTGTACTTATTTTCCAGTAGTGCTCAGAGACCAATGTTATTTAGCCTTTCTTAAATTATGAATTGTCTTAAACATTCTCTTCTTATGTCATGTTTGTTCTGGAAACTTTAGGTAAGGATTTTTAATTTCTCCCATTTTATTTGAATTCCTTATGGACTATAGTTAACAAATCAGCTCTAGCTAGGAACATAGTAATTATCAAAAAATTCTACCTTTTTGTTGAATATGCATGTGATCATTAGAAAGCCTAAGTTGGCTTCTTGCTATATTTTACACCTCTATTCCATCTTTCAGGAGATGGAAAAGAACTAAATAGATGGCAATACGGTTTTGTGGAAAGAATATATATTTTGGACCTGGGTTCAATTCTTAACTCTGTTTTGTTCTAGCAGTGTGACCTTGGGCAAATTATTTAACCTGTTTGAACCTCAGTTTCCTCAACTATTAAATGATTTAGTAATACCTACCTCATCAGATTGTTGTGAAATTTAAATGAGATTACGTTTGTAAAGCGCCCAGCACTGTGCCTGGAGACAAGACACATACATAAATATTATAATACAAAGCAACATGTGGTAAGTGCCATATGAGTGGAATAGATGAGGTATAGAGGAGAGAGGCCGGGAATGATCAGGGAAGCCATGTAGAGGACATACAAATGAGTTGAACCTTGAGAAACGATTAGGATTCCCACAGATGGAGATGAGAAAGGGAGGCCAGCTCAGACAAAAAGAATAGCATGGAAAAGATATAGAAACAAAAAGGGTAAGATGAATGATTCACTTGCAGTAGAATATTGTGGTGCAGGGGCAGTGGGAATTAAGACTCAAAAGGTGGGAGAACCTTCATTGCCTGGCTCCTTGCGGGGAGCCACTTTTTTGAGTAGGGAAATTATACCATCAAAGAGGGATTGGACAACAAGAAACAGCATGAGCGCCCTGGAAAACAGAGGGTAAATCCAGAGCGATAAGCAACTGGAGTAGGCACTTGGTGACAGGAAGGTGGAGAGAATCTAAGGTGACATTATCATTGCAAAAGGGTAGAGAATGAACACAAGATTCACCTACTTCACGATTTTGCCTAGGGACAGTCCTGCCTCTGAGTACCTTTGGCAAGAGGAGACAAGAGATAGTTTCAGGTCATATGCATTTGGAACATTATGGGTAACAAAACAAGGCATGGGTTAAACAAAAGGTTGTTTAAACTTAACCCACTGGCTGAATATTGTACCACAGTACCTAATACTTGGCTGCACCTGGTTTTCATTTCATGTGTAACAGATTGTTGAGTTATAATTCCAATATAGTCTTAATGCAGATTTTGCATTCAATTTCCTTTTGTTTCTTTCCACAAAGGTAAAAAAGAAAATCAATTTTGCTGCCCTGTCTAGCCACCTTTATACTAAGTGAGAACCATGAAATCATCATTATGTAATTACCAAATTTTATGGCATGTTTACAAACTCCAGAGTCACACAAAACGTAAAATAACTTGGAACAAAACAAAAATGTCACACCACATATGTAGCAAAGTGATGTTTAATCCTGTCTCTCTCTTTCAAAAGAGCTTATTAGATTCACAAATATTTTCCATTTTTCAAGTTTACATTATTCAAGTATTGGAAGCATTTGCAATTTATTTAAAATAAAAGGGAGCATTTTTGTCATTTTCCAGCAGCAGCTGAGTTTTTGCTTAGTATTTCAGCCATAATATAGGATATTTCTAGTCCTCTCAGACAGAATCTATATTATAAGAGCTAAATATTTTAGAAGAAATTTTAAAATACAGTTTACTGGAATAATTAAGTTATTTAATTATTTTCAAGGGACATAGGGATTTCACTGAGACATACCTATTTGTCTTAGGAGCTAGATATTTGATTTTCATAAAATTAAAAGATCAGTAGGTTAAATGAAGAGGTAATAATCATGAAAATGCTGCTTAAAATGTGCTAGGTGGAGCATAGGCACTAATGGTTCAGAAAGATCCTCTGGACTGGAATGCTTGGTCTTATTGGAGGAGCTGAGCATCATTGACTATAACAAAACCAAAGAGAAGATAGACTGATAGAATTCATTTTACAATTTTTGAAACTATTTTTATATTGTCATGTAAATGGGGATCAAAGAGTTTGAGGCAATAAACTTTATACAAACAGATCTACACTGTAATTCTTGGGAAATTGAGACATCGATGCTTCAGTGTAATATTTCTCTTTTTTCTAAATTCTGCCTTGATAGATGATGCATCATAATTGTATGAGTAAAAATGAATAATCACAAGAATTTCCAATTTTCCATAATCGGATTTAGAGCACCACTTTAGTACATACAGAGTAAATATTATATATTCCAGTAAATATGATATGCTAAATTAGCACAAGATGAGTTTGGGAAACCAAGGAAGAAAAGGATAATGTAATTTTCTGGATATTATCTTGAAAGAGTTTATTTCTTGTGACCAATTTTAACAATATTTATACCTGTTAATGGGTTATAATTAAAAACTCCATAAATAAAATAAGGTGACTTTAGAGGTGATATGGGTACAAGGGCTTGAAAATCATAATGTGTTATAAATGTTTAGGTCTGTTATAGTAGCAAAACCTCACTTAACTTTGTTTATATTTATTTCCCAGTATTTCTCTTTAGAAAACATGTCTTTTAATGAAGAAATCCTGATACAAAATTATATGTAAGATATGGGACAAAAATTAAAATTTTAAAAATTAAAAAAAAAAACTCTAGAAATAGAACAAAAATTCAACAATGTTAAATGTCAAAATATTAGAGTGTTATAACTATTAAATGATTTTTTTCCTTTCACATATTTTTATTGACTTTCTGAAGCTGTATAAATAGAATTATTTTTACAAAGGGGAAAATCCCTTTAATTTTCATTAAGGAGATATAATTTTCATTATATCTTCTATAAATTGTTTTTAATTTTTAAAATTCAGGAGGAAAAACAAAAGGCATATCATTTGTAAAAGTGATATAGATGACAGGCCTAATTCAGGGATAAGCTTGAAAATGTCAGGAAGCATTTAGCTTTGCTAAGTCGGTAGAGTACAGAAGATCTGGGATGGAATGGGAATTGCTACAGCCAGAAGGATCAATGTGAGAATGGGCGGAAGGTTAAGAATAAATCCTAAAAATTCAGGGTTAATGACACAGTGATTCTAGTGATGGAAGCTAGGAAGGATTCATAAATCCAAATGGCCAAACTGGCTGAGAAACGGAGGATTCCATAGGTGAAAGCAGGAGTGTAGATACCCAAGATATTCAGAGGAACAAATAAAACCACCAGAAAACCACAAAATGATCAATACCAAGTAAAGTTTTTTGGCCTAAGAAAGGATTTTAAATCTCTTTCCTGTTTAAAAAAAAAAAAAAAAAAAAAAAAAAAGGAGCTAATTCTAGGAAATATGCTCAGGGCAAATTTGCTGAAAGTGGATTAGAGAAGATGGGTAGGGTTTTGCCAGCAATGGCTTTGGTGTCGTCTCGTGATGACTGAATGGGGTGTTTCCCCAGGCAGATGCAGTCAACCATAGAAAGCAGGTGTCTGCTCTCTCCTCCTCAAGGGATGTTGCCCAGGCTATGTGCAACCACTCCCTCTCCTAAAGAGAAGATGAGGGACAAATGAGACTGTAGATGAGGATGTTGCCAAAGCTACCAAAAGAAGATTATGCTACTTGGTCATGGGATAAAACAGAAATGTCCTGTTAATTGTTCTGTAAAATATGTCCACCAACCTATGCAATGGCTCATATTACATTCTCTAAATTTCATAACTTCTAAATCTAAGGAAGATATTTATTCCAAATCATATTAGATTACTTTGCATCATTTGACCAGTGATGACCTTCTTCTTCTTCTTCTTCTTCTTCTTTTTGTTAAAGATTTCATTTATTTATTTGACAGAGAGAGAAATCACAAGTAGGCAGAGACGCAGGTGGGAGATGGTTGGGGGGAGCAGGCTCCCTGCCAAGCAGAGAGCCCAATGCAAGGCTTGATTCCAGGTCCCTGAGATCATGACCTGAGCCAAAGGTAAAGGCTTAACCCACTGAGCCACCCAGGCGCCCCTGATTTCCTTCTTCTTTCAACATTCCTTTCTCTTGGATTCCCTGTGAGCCTAGTTTTCTTCTGACCTCAAAGAGCAAATTGTCCTTGATGCTACTTGCAGCCCCCCCCCCCCCCCCCGCCCCTTTGAGATGCCTGCAGGTACTCAGGGCCCTCTTTTCTGCTTCTGCACTGTGATGACATTCACTTTCCAATCCAAACTATTTATTATTTATGTCTCAGTGATTCCTGAATCTTGGTCTCAATCTCAAGTATCTATACTGAATTCCACACATTTATTGTGAAGTTAAATTACTAAATTGAATGTATGGTCAGCAACTTTTTTTCAACTTATCATTTCTGGTTTGTGTGTTTACTAATAAACATCATTTTTCAAGTTATCATTTCTGGTTTGTGTGTTTACTAATATCCTTGGGCAGAGATACCCTCTTCTGCCTCTGCTTGCCACTCCCTTCCAATCCATCCACACCATTGTTCTGTGAGGATTGCTCTTGTGATACAGAAAACATCTCAGTCCTTGCTTGGTGAGTGGAGATGGGGGAAGGGTTGGGATTGCTGAGAGAACTTCCCAATACAGCAGGGAAGCCAGTGTACCTGAACCAAATCATGAGCAAGAGCTTAGGAGAAATCAGAGACAGCCAGAACACCTAGAGGCCCCACAAACCCAAGTTACTAACTCGGAGTGCAGAGAAGACTGTGAAAAGTCCTTTTGATATCGTCAGGGGTTTGTCAGAAATCAAACAAATGAAATGCAGGGGATTTATCACTTTAAAAAGTAGCAAAGACAGGCAGAGAATAGAGAAAATTCACCTCTCTATGTTTGGGGGAAGAACATTAAGGGAAGTCATGTTGTTGTTTATATACTCTGTCATCAGAGCATTTGTCCTTCTTGGCTTTTACTGAAGCATTCTAGTCAGGCAGAGAATTTCTCCCTTATATGGCAAAAAAGAGGGACAAGACAAAAAGATGCAGACAGAATTAAGGCTGGAAGGCTGAGAAAGCCAATGGCTGCACAAATAAAAAGTCATCAAAAGGGAAACAGAAGGAAAGCTATGATGTGGCTGGCTGAAGTTCTCAAAGCTCTGGTCTGACTTTGTCATTAAAACCGAAGTTAAATTAAGTCTTGATTGATTATTATAAAAGAGACAAGAGAACATTACCATATTATGTAGGCACTTCTGTTTCTATCTCAATCTGAATAACTGAACTTCATAAACTCCAAGACATTGTGTGTGTGTGTGTGTGTGTGTGTGTGTGTGTGTGTTTCACATTTTACTGTCTGTGAAATTGGGGCTTACACGATGATTGATGGCATTCGAGTTTAGAAACTTTCTCCTCTTTTTAGTGATACTTAGAATAATATTTCATCTTTAATTGATGGTATTATAGAGTCAATGATGTAGTGTATATACTGTTAAAACCCCACCATAACACAGTAAGTAAGGTGAAAAATATAAAATGTTGAGGTTGCTATGAGGTTTGCCTGTGCAACTGAATGGGTTGGAGTTCCATGTATCTGACTAATTGATTTATATTCTCCCAGGGCCCAGCTGTAGATTGATGCTATATGGAGCTTGTAAGCTGTGGCTTAAATATTGATGGGGATAATTCTGGCACTCGAGGCAGCCTGGGATTGCCAGGACAGTGCCAACAACTCCAGAAATCTCTCAGTTGGTTGATACCCCCACTTAGTTGCCATGGAGACTGGTTCAAGGGAATCAGAAAACATGGAGATCAACTATCAGCCTTTCTCCTTATAATTCTTGGTATAATCTTCCCATCCTTCAGCACCTCATAAACCCCATGCCCCAGCCTCCTCTCCAAGAATATAAGCATGTTTTCTCATCCTCTTTTTTTGAGAATGGAGACTAGGAAGATGTCTAGAGCTCATCATCAAATGCATCATATCCAGAGTTATACTAGTACAGGAATTTACAAGATCTGCTTTTTATCTTTAGTGATCATAGGTTAGAAAATATGGGCCCAGCAGCTTTAAAACAAGAACACTTAACTGAGTAAGAAAG